ATGCTGGTGTTTACACTCAACAACAGAGTTCTGCTATGGAGTTTCAACACAGGAATGGAAAGAAAGAATTCCCTTGGATTTGAGGAAAGACTGGAAGCTTAGTTCATGCGCATTGTCAGACCTCACTGATTTAATTAGAATTTTATATTGTGTGAGGATAAAAGTGTAAAAATCAGAAAATGTGGTGTGAACATCAGATTTATTTCGAAGAAGGTATACCCATATAGCCCGAGTGCAGTCATCAACAATGGTGAGAAAATACTTATGTCCTTCCGTAGTGGAAACGAAAAAAAGACCCCAGATATCAATGTGAATTAAATCGAAAGGATTATCAGACAATTTATTTGTGGAAATGAAAGGTAAACATTTTTCTTTTGCAAGATGACAAACTTTACAATGATAAGGAACATTCCTTGAAACATCATAAACTTGTAATTTTTTATTTAAATTTTAACACCCACCAAAACCTTTTTTTTTTCATTTTTTATTAATAAAAAAATTATTAATTAATTTATTTATTTTATTTTATTATATTTTATTATATTTTAATGAAAAAAAGGGAGTAAAATTTATTAAATATTAAATTGAAAATAATTTTGGGGAAAAGGGGTGAAAAATTGGGTTCGGGAGGTATTTTGGAAAGAAAAATCGGAAATCGGGAGACAAAACGTAATTTAAAAAAAATTTGCCACGTTAAACGCTTGGTCAACAGCCCCAACCAATCAGGATGCGCCAAGTGGCAGAGGCAATGACGCGAGAGGCCACGGGGGGAGCCACGTGGGCGATCTGCATGCACGTGATCGAACGGCTGAGGTCCGTTCCCACGCACACGGATGGCCAAGAGTGAATCGCACATGGAAGGCTCAGATTGGATCGCGATAAACGGCTCAGATTCACTCCTATTTAATCGCGATCGGACAGTCCAGATCAAACGCGATGGACAACCCAGATAAAAAACGAATGGGTATAAATAACCTCATCCGCACCCTAACCCTAACCCTAGCCGCCAGAACCTTTTGCCAAAGAAGACAACCCAGCCGTCGGGGAGCTGACTACCACCACCCACCGTCGTACCGGGACCTTTTCTGACCACCAAAAAAGGTTAAAAAAAATTTTTTTTACATGAAATTAAATTTTAAACCCACCCATGGCTAAATAAGAGTGAAAGAATTGGCCAATTGACCGAAAAACACCGACGAAGCTCGGCGACGCCGCCACAGGAAATTTCACAAACTGTCTCTGATGAGGCCCTTCCCGATTCCTGTTTCGTGTAATTTTTTCACCGTTGTGATCATTGTTTTGTTCTTTACAGGGAGATCGAAGTGAAACATCCAACCGCAATGTGAGTTGGAGGAGCCGCCGCACCGGAGAGCCCTGCCGCTGGTGAGTTTCAATTTTTTGTATTTTTTTGGCCAACCGAGGCCCTTTAGCATGTGTGCTCATAGGAATCGATGCAAAATCGGCTGAATTTGGCCAAAATGGCTGAAAATAGTTGACCTAAGGCAGACCGCCGCTGCCCGTCACCGGAACATGGCGGAGCCGCCGTGCCGGATTTCTGAAATTGGCCGAGCGAGCAATGGGAATGATTTTGGATTTATTTGGAATATTTGTAGGTACTATAAGCGCGTTTCAGTTCCCGGAGAAAAATTCAGGGAACTCATGGACCGCCCGTAGGTGCAGTAAACCGTTTAGCTTTTCGACTTCAAATCAAGTAAGGACCCCTCACCCTATTTTCTATCATAGAATTGAAGTTTAAATAAATAATAATACGGTATTTTGTACAAATTAAATAGATGTGTATAATTAATTACGGATTACTAATGGAGCCCGAACTGGACATTGTTCTCTGTTGATTTATTTTATAATCTAAAAGCACGATAGTACCTGATTTACCTATTTTATGGTTTAAATGCATGTATTACTAATTTACTTGATTTCTGTTTGACTTGAAATTTGAGACATGAATGCATTACCGAGTGCATGTTTATTTGTTTATGTGATTATGCTTGATTTGGTAATGGAGACTAAAAGAAAATAGGAAATGAGTGTGATCAAATAAACAGATGGAATGGCAGCCTTACTAGATATCCTGGGAGATGGTGGACAGATCGGGTACATAGAGAACCCCACCGTGAACGTTGTCTCATACCGGATGGGGTATGGAGACTTGATAATTTGGCGCTCATACTGGATAGGGTATGGGGACGGCCCACTTCTCCCTTATACTGGACAGGGTATTGAGATTTAATGTCTTAGCGTTCATACCGAATGGGGTATGGGGACGACCCTGTAATTGAAATTGTTAAGGAAAGAGTTCACGTGTATCGGGAACATCCCTATGAACCCCCATGGATACTAGTAGGCTGGTGAAATGAGAAACGGTTATGATTTGGTTTATTGTTAATGGATATGAATCTATGATATGTTCTATGTTATTGATTGTTCATAAAAAGTTATGATTTGTATGGTATTATTGTCTTTATAGGTTGTTTTCATAAATTTCACTATGGTAAGTGAATGGTAAATGATTTTATGATTGATGAATGAATTTGCTAAATTTAGTGTTCCATTAGTTGTTTTGATTTTATACCAACCTTTACTTCTGTGCGAGTGATATAATGTGATATCCTTACTGGGTTAGTGTAGCTCATCCTTTATTTAACCATTTTAGATCAAGAGAACCTGGTTCTAGAGCCCGATCCACAGGAAGATTGCAAGTAGATGCTAGATACTTTCTATTTTTCATTACTTTTCTTATTTCTCGTGTTTCTCTTAGAGAATTCATTCTATAATGCTTGTTTAGTACTTTTAAGTTATTATGTAAGGGATGTAAACCTTAATATTTTATTTTGTTTCCGCACTTAAATTATTATATACTTCCTTCTGGATTTCCAGGGTCGTTACATAAATATTGAAGTTTAACAAGAGATGGATGACCCATTCTAAAGTGCCAAATGCGTCTTTTAACATTAACATGATCAAAATTAACTGAATTACAAGCAAAATTCTCAGTAATTAAGTAGTAGAGATTTTCAACACGGTTACCCTTCTCAATCGACAATCCCCGAGTGAGATCATGAATGACACATGAATTAAGGAAAAAAATTAACAGTGCAGGAATGAGTTGTGATCAAACTACTAACACTTATGAGATTGAAAGTAAATTCAGGAATATACAGGACATCGGATAAGGTTATGGATTCTGTCAAGACCACACTACCGACTTGATTGACTATCACGAAGCTACCATTAGGTAAATTAATATGGAGGGGTTCAACATGCTTAAGGGTTGTAAAGAGGGATTCAAAGCAGCAGTGTGATGTGTGGCTCCAGTATCAAGGAACCACACTGCGGAGATAGGTGTGCATGTAAAAAGAGATAAGTAATAGGGAATACACCTGTGTTTGGCAGATTGAAGGTATCGATAGAGGCGGAGGTGGAGGCAACTTCCGGAGCCGATATGACAGAGGCAGAGAACGGAGTATGGAGGCGTGCGCTTAGATGGGCTGTTATGTTTTGTATCTGCGATGGGCTGAGTGCGGCAATGGAAGTGGCGGAGCTGAAGTCAGAGGCCGAAGACATAGCAAAAACAGGGGCGGTCACGGACGTGACCGAGGAAAAAGACCCTAAGTTGTGCCCTTTCACGTGGGCCTGAGAAGATTTGGGAATGGGCTATGGTTACTACTGCTGCTTATGGGTTTCAGTAGTGGGCTAGGAAATAATGGACTACAGGCCCTCCAGGCCCATTTCCATGTTGAGTTGAATGATTGTGAAAGGATGTGGCACGTGCCTCAATTGACCTTGGACTTTAGTAAGTGGGCTCCTGGATTTGGGCTTGTAACCGATGGGGTAGCCGTGGAGCTTATAACAGCGGTCCACAAGATGGCCCATGAGCCCACAATGAGAGCACAAGGGCCTTCATCTTCCATCTTGTGCTAAGGCAACAGTGCCTGCGCCTGCAGCTGCTTCTGAACCAAAAGGCGCCCCTTCGATTCATATGGAGCGATGCCGCTCCTCCTACATTACCAAGCTGAAGGCCTTCGCAATTAGAGGAGAAGATTCCATCATCAGAATTTGGCTGCGTATTCCAGCGTATGATTCATTGAGTCCCATTAGAAAGAGAATCACCAACTCTTGTTCCTAGTAATCGTTCCAAGCCCTTATTCCACCATAAGGGCATACGGGTGCGGGCTGATAGGTTTTTAGTTCATCCCACATAGTCTTCATTTTGGTATAATATGTATTCATGGTGAGGGAGCCTTGCGTGAAAGTGTTCATGAATTTCTTCAACTGGAATATTCTTGGTGCATTGCTTTGTTGAAATCTATGTTGTAAATCGGACCAAATAGCTTGAGCATTTTCAAGGTAAAACAGACTATCCACGATGTCCTTCACGACTGCATTGAGAAGCCACGAAATCACCATGGAGTTGCAGCGAGACCATGCTCCTGCCATGGAGTCTGTACTGTTGGGTTGCGACACCGAACCGTCTATGAAGCCCAGCTTGTCCTTCGCGTTCAACGCAATCCACATCGCACACTCCCAAGTGTTGTGGTTGTTTCCATTCATGACGTGGATGACTACGATTAATCCCGGATGATCACCACTGTGGAGGAAGAAGGGGTTATGAATGTCGTCGCTCATTGCAGCTTGACCAGCTTGCGGATTGCGAGCAGTGGAAGAATCTGATTAAGGGTTGCTGGAATCACCACCTCTGGCCATTTGGCGAGATAAATCGCGGCGTGATTTGGCAGCAGATTAAGAACAATATTGCTCTGATACCATATTAGAAAATAGAGAATGAAACAGAGAATGATTTCAGAGAATGAATAATCTGTTGATTTTCTCATTGATGGATGATGTAATAAAAAATATAAATAGCTATACAAAAGAGCAAAAAGACAAAAACGGTTATAATAGAATGTAGAACCAAAAATATCACTAATTATAATTCTGATCTTAATATACCGATTAAATCTTTTTAAGTTCAATAATAGTAAACATCAAAATCATCACCATAATGACCCAAAAAAAAAGAAATAATAAATAGAAGAATTTGAAAATGTGGGTAGTGTGGATTGACTCAAGAGCCATTTGTTAGGCACAACAGGACAAGTATTCTGCAATTTACTCATACAATTAATAAATTTTTGTCTTCAAATTACCATGACACTAAGGTAGTTATTGAGTTGCTGACTTGTCAAGATTATGTTAGCCTGCAAATTTTGAGGTTATAAACTAAAAGGAAGTGAATTAATAAACTTCTATCTCGCTGGTTTATATGACATCTTGTTTTCCCAAAGCTTCGTAGTTCCCAAGGTTTGAATCCTTGAAGTTCTTAAACTGATGAGTTTTTATTTATTGTGATAATTTAAAAAAATATATATTTACTTTTAAATTTTAACTTTATTTTTATTAAAAGGTAAAATTAATTAATATTTTTAGTTTTTAACTGTTAAAATTAAATCAAACAGTAACTCAATACTTTCTAACATTTATTAATTAAAAATTAACACATAATGCTCAATAATTTTATCAACTAAATATTTCATTTTAAAATTAAAATAGTGATTAAACTATCTTGCAAGATTGATAAGACCATTAACTAAAAATTAGTCATAAATATTATAAATGAAGAACATTTAAAGTTGAACATTGTTAATATTTCTATGCTAATATTATGAAAGAAAATTACTATTTTATCCTTTAAACTATTTATTGTGTTCCAATTATATTCTAAAATTTTTGTTTATTATAATTTGGTGCTTAATCTTAATTTTTTAATTTATAATTCTTTTTACAAATTATAAAAATTCTAATAGAAAATATATAAATTTTTTTATATAAATTGTAACACCCAACTATTTTCATTATTTTTATTAATTCTATATAAATATAAAATATGTATTAATTAAATTGAATTTATTTTATTTTATTTTATTTTAATATTAATAATAATAATAATAAGGGGTAAAAATTATTTAGAGATTTAATTTAAAATAATTTTGGAAAAAATGGATGAAAATTTGGGTTCTGGGGATATTTTTGAAAGAAAAATCGAAAACCGGAGTTCAAAATGTAATTTAAAAAAGTTGTGCCATGTCAGCTGCCCGGTCAGTAGCCCCGACCAAACAGGACGCGCCAGGTGGCAGAGACGCTGATGCGGGAGGGAGCCACGTGGGTGATCTGCGTGCGCGCGATCGAACGACTGAGATCTGTTCCCGTACGCACGGACGGTCCAGATCAAAAACGTATACAGACGGTCAAGATTGCATCGCGCACGAACAGCCCAGATTGAATCGCGTACGGACAGCCCAGGTTGAATCGTGATGAACGGTCCAGATTAAAAGCGATGGACGGCTCCGATTAAAAGCGGATGGGTATAAATAACCCCATCCGCACCTAAACCCTGATCCTAGCCGCCAGAGACCCTCACCGGAGAAGACAGCCCAGCCGCCAGGGAGCTGACCGCCGCCGCACTGGAGTAATTTTTTGCTGCCAAACGAGGTAAAAATTCCACCCTTTGCTCAGAATTTGATTCCAAACCAACCTATGATAAAATCAGAGCGAAAGCACCAGCCAATTGGCCAGAAAATGCCGCCGAAACTCAGCGGCACCGCCGCGGAGTGTCTCGATTTTTGCCTCCGATGAGGCCCTTCCCGATTCCCATTCGATGTGATTTTTTCACCGTTATGATCACTGTTTCCTCTTCTATAAGTTGACTGGAGCAAAACACCCAACCACAACGTGAGTCGAAGGAGCCACTGCACCGGAGAGCCCCACCACCGGTGAGTTTCGATTTTATACGTTTTTTCGGCCCACCAAGGGCCCTAAGTGTGTTTTCTCACAAGAACTGATGTAAGTTTGGCTGAATTCAGCCAAAAATGACTAAAAACAGCCAATCCAAGGCAGATCACCGATGCGGGCGGTGGCGTCAGTGTTGGAGCACGGCAGAGCCGCCTTGCCGGAATTTCAAAATTGGCCGAGTAGGCCCTGGGTATGATTTTTGGGTTATTTGGGACATGTATAGGTACCATAAGTGCGTTTAAGTTCCCGATGAAAAATTCAGGGAACCCAGTGACTGCCCATAGGCGCAGTGACAGTCTAGTTTTTGGCATCGAATCAAGTAAGGACCCCTCACCCTATTTCCTATCATGGAATTAAAGTTCGAATAAATGGTAATATTGTATTTTGTGCAAATTAATAAATATGCATAATTAATTAAGGTTGCTAATGGAGCCAGAAATCGGACATTATTCTCTGTCGTTCCTGCTTGATTTATTTTATAGTTTAAATACATTATGGTATCTGGTCTATCTATTCTATGATTTTAAATGCATGTGTTACTGTCTCACTTGACCACTGTGTGACTTTGAAATTTAAAATATGATTGTTATATCGGTTTATTGTTTATGTGATTATGTTCAACTTGGTAACGGAGACTAAGGGAAACAGATAAGGTGACAGCCTCACTAGATATCCTGGGAGATGGTGGACGGACCGGGTTCATAGGGAACCCTTTCGTGAATGTCGTCTCATACCGGACAGGGTATGGAGACTTGGTCATTTGGCGCTCATACCGGACGGGGTATGAGGATGACCCGCTTCACCCTCATACCGGATGAGGTATCAAGATTTAATGACTTGGCGCTCAAACCAGACAGGGTATAGGGACGGCCCTGGAATTAAGACTGTTAAGAAGAAGGGTTCACGTGTAGCGAGGACACCCCTATGGATCCCCATGGATATTAGCGGGCTGGTGAAAACGAGAAACGGTGATAATTAGTTATTGTTAATAAATACGGATTTATGATATGTTTTATGTTACTGATTATGTATGAAATTGTGATCTGTATGATGTTATTGTCTTTATAAGTTGTTTTCACAGGTTCTCCAAGAGTAAGAAAAAAGGGTAAGTGGTTGTATTTTAAATAAATGTATTGGTTTAAAATTTGTGCTCCATTAGTTTTTTTTTTGTATTCTACCAACCTTTACTTCTGTGATGGTGATATAGTGTGATGTCGTTACTAGGCTAGTGTAGCTCATTCCTTATTTAATTATTTCAAATCAGGAAGACCTAGTTCCCGAGCTCGATCCATAAGAAAACGGCGAGTAGATGCTAGATGCGTGATATTGTTTACTTTATTTTTCTTATTTCTCGTATTTCTTTTAGAGAACTTAATCCGTGATATTGTTTAGTACTTTTAAGTTATTGCGTAAGGGATCTTAACCTTAATCTTTTATTTTACTTTCGCACTTAGATTATTATATGTATTTCCTTTTGAATTTTCGGGGTCGTTACAGTTGGTATCAGAGCCGCGTTCCTCGGACCCATCCCTTTCACAATAATACTTAGAGAAACACCAAATAATGAATTATCGCTCAACTCTTCCTTATGAAATTGTAACACCCCGTTTTTTTTTTCTAACGGTATACGATAAAGCACTCATACAACACAATATCGAAATCCCATATTATCCAACCATGCTAAG